ATGGCGCCCTTATGAAAAAACAAAGTTGATGATGGTTCCAAGAAACTGAAACGTTCCAAATAAAATCTGATGAGACAGGCATTTTCTACGTAAAAAGTTGTTCTAAGAAAGTTTTTAGAAATTTTGAAAATTTTCATAAATAAAGAAAATACAGGGTAATTTCGGAAATGCGTCATTTTAGTTTCTCAAAATATCTCAAAAACCAAAAAAAAAAATCTCAAACTAAACGGCATTAAATTACTAACAGAATTATCTAACTGTTTCTCTATCTCTAACAGTATCGGAGATCGCAATACGTGCATCACCAATTTCGGACACACTGTACAATTTAAAAAATTTCGTAGCACTAAGGTATAGGCACAGAATAACCTACTTATTACAGAAGCGAAGGATAGCACATTTATTGGGTCCAAAATTTTTTGCGCATGCAGAGCCGCCATTTTATAACCGACAAAACTGTCATGTCACATGCGAGTGTTGTTTTGATGTGTCAGGATCAGTCATTTGCAATTTCTGATTTTTTTATCGAATTTAGTATGTTTTAGTGTTTTTCTTTGTATATTTTTTTACCAATTATTGAGTAAATCTTTGTTTAGTGTTTACTTCCGACAATATTCTGGCATACACCCGCAAGAAATGAAAACATTGATCATTCTAAATGAATCTGTGCTAAATCCCAGGACGATTGCCTGAGTACACCAGGTATTGAAAATAATATAAAAGTATTGTGTTTATGTATTTTTTAATTTAAATATTTTTTTTAGGTCCTGGCAAAAGAATGACTGGCTACGGTCGATATTAGGTCCAGTAATTTTGTCACTTTTTCCATAAAGATTAAGTAACACCATAATATTTTTACACTTTTTAATCTTCTATAAGTGTGCACTAACCTAATTAAAGTAACAAATATTATTAAAACACATTTGTTAGCTAAAAAAATTAAAAATATGCATTTATTCACTACATTCTCACGTAGCCATATTGTTTTTAATTTTTTCGATTTGACATTTACACTAAAAGCGCCTGTGCGTGATTTTAGCGATGTTGCCAATTGCTTTTTCTTATTTGTTATAAATAAATATATTCATGGTAATACTGTTCTATATTATTTTTTATGAATAATATGACAACTGATATTTTTATTTTTATAAATGTGGAGTTGTCAAACATAGTAAAAGAACGTACATAACAGGAATGACAGTGGCTGTTTTTTCAATAGCTCCAAGCCAAATGATAAAACCAGAATGTAAATGTGTTTATATGAGACTTTTCATTTCAATTATTCAATTTGAGCTGTGTCCAGGCCGTTGGAGTCTATGCCGGTCGGCGTAACCAGGTTTGGGTTAATGTTTATTGGTAGCGGTGAAGCCGCCACACTACGACTTATCGTAGGGTGGCGGCGAAGCCGCCACTTTACGATAAGTCGTTGCTTCGTTTTCTTGTTGCATATTTATGGACTAGTATGCGCAATCGCAAAAAATTAGGTAAAAAAAATTTACGTTTTTAATTTAATTTGAGCTGTGTCCAGGCCGTTGGAGTCTGTGCCGGTCGGCGTAGCCAGGTATGGGTTAATGTTTTTTGGTGGCGGCGAAGCCGCCACCCTACGATAAGTCGTTGCTTCGTTTTCTTGTTGCATATTTATGGATCGGTATGCGCAATCACAATTTTCCATTAACTACTAATTTTATCACAATCTGGCAACGTTGTATTTATATTTTCTAAATTTGACAGAAACCATCGAGTTTCCATGTTTACAGTCGTCAAAATGCTGATTTTTATAGAAATTAAATAATTTTTTTTGGCTTAAATATAGCATTTACCGCAATTTTTTTTTTTTGAAATGTACTATTTAAAATACGCTCTTTCTGATAAAAAATAAATTTCTTTAAAATTTTACTGGACCTAAAGTCGACCGTACCCGAATGACTAACTTTGAAGATTGAAGATTGTTGTTTACATTTCTATAATGCATGTGCCAGTGCCAAAAATATCTCCTTTTGTTGGGCCACAATTTTTAAATCAACCACTTGCAGATATAAGCCTCTAGCTAGAAGACATTTCAATGAATACAAGCAGTTTGCGCTTACCTTTTATTTTTTAGGACTTCGGGCATATTCCTTTGTATAAAATTTTGTGCCTTTTGTGTGTATTTTTTATATTAGATTTTTATTAATTAGATTTTTGTAATACGCGTTCTTCGTAATTTGGATTAATTAAAATTAATAGTTAGTATGGGTACGTGTTTTATTTATAACAACCTTTTTCCTACAGTACTTTTCTTTAAATCTCAGTTTAAAAATTTTAATAATTATGCATCTAAAAATTCAAATTTATGTGTACAACAAATTTATATGATTTATAAACAAATTCTAAATCTAGTCTGGATTTATGACATATAGCTACGAGGATGTGCCAGCAAAAGTAATATTAACATGATATAAGTTTTACAAAATAAAGTCCTAAGATGCATCGAATATGCACCCTGGTTCTATCAAAACAAAGATGCCGACAGGCAAAGGAGAAATAAAGAGGTTACTGCAAAACATGAGAGTCGACTCCACTCCCACGTCAATGAAGAAGTGCTGCAGTTACTGGACAACTCTGCACTCTACAGAAGACTCTAAAGAATGAAAAGCCATTTGAGCTAGAGCAGTGAACGTTAGTGCTAGTGTAAAACAGTATAATCAATCGTTTCGCCAAATATTGGTGATGTTTTTCAATCAACGACAAACAAATACTAGACTAATATTTTTTTTAAAAATTAAATTGCAAACAATCGCAGATTTATCCACTGAGTTGTTAAATTATTATAAGAGAGTATGGCGAAAGTCTTACTGCAAGGATTGTTTATAGTATTATTGACATATTATAAGGATCTAAAATACATAAAAGGCTTTCAAAATTACAATTAGGAAGTATATTTGTATTCTTAATGCCAGTTATTATCAGTTTAAGAATCACTCTTAAAGAGTTGATGTTATCTAAAAACCTCATGAATTAAGCACTACGAGTATTCGATCTGGTTCCTCAAGTAAAAACCTTTTTTAATTTAGCAATCAGTACAACTTACTTCAAAATAAATTATTGGGAAGCCTTAATTTTCTAAAGGTTTGTTCCAACACAATAGCAAATCGGTTTACATACTTTCGGGATTCTGCGCAGTCTAGAATTTGTGTTCCAACAAACTTCGGACTCAAAACTGTACAAAAACCTAGTGTTCCACAACACACCCAAACCTAATCACAAATTAGTTTCTGTACTGTCAAATCAGTTCTTGGATTTAAATAAGAACGAAATATCAAACATGCGCAAAACGAAAGTGAGCTCGCAAATAAACCATCATCAGCTCTGGAAATTTCGTGATTATATTTGTTTTGATATTATTGATCGTAGTCTCCATCCAACGATTATATACTATTATTGATCGTAATTTGGTTTGACAACAAAAAAATGTGTTCCAACAGATCCAAGTTCCGAATAAAGTCCCATCCTTGACAGGTCGTGGACAGGTCGCCAACTATCAGTCGTCGACAATAAGTTGTGGACTGGTTTATGTACGGTTCCAAGATTGTTGTTGAAACAAACCTTAATAATATCACTAACCTTCAATTCAGAGAAGAAATAGTGGATGTTGCTAAATAAGTTTGTTACAGATATTTAAATCCATTTCTTAGTGTATTATGCGAATTTATACGAAGCTTGTTCATTTTTACCAGTGTAACAACTGGCAAGAACGTCAACTGTCAATTTTGACCACCCCCGCATCAAAGTGCCGAAGCAAGTCTTCGCTTCTGTAAGAGGTAGGTTATTCTGTGGTATAGGTTTGCCGTCTATACTGCACATGTGCACCACTAGCCCGTCAGGCGCAAAAACCAATTTTGGTAAACTGTATGAAAAAACAAGGAAAATTATTCGTAGGTATCGGCCTTCTAGGTGTTCTGTGGAGAAAGCAAAACTGGATTTAGATCCAATAGCAAAAACTTCATGTTCACCATCCTGTGTTTTCGAAACAATTGGTAATAGGGATGACATTAAATGGTAACATTTGATCAGGAGATTTATATCTATAACATATCTGAATTTTAAAAAAATCTCACGGAAAGCCATTTCTCATAAAATTAGGGCGAGATTTTCTTTTTAGTTTGAATTAAACAAATTTTTGGTTAAATGATAAATATTACTTTTTAACTTTATTATTTTATATGAATCCCTATATATGATTTTTTGTTACAAGAGATTTGTTTTTCCAATCAAATTTTGTTTGATTAAAGAAAATCTTTGTTTAAAGTGAGTAAATTTAAACGTTAAAAATGTATAATTAAATGAAATAAATACTTAAATTCTCAACATATTTATTCAAAATTAGTAACATATAACAAAAATAATACTATAACAAAAATAAAATATATTCTACACTAAAAGTGTTAACACAACAAACATACATATTTATAAGGTTTCAGTCAAAATGTAACAATGTTTAAAATGCTACATTTAAACCTTAAAAATACAAAACAAAAACGATGGTAATACTTGTACTTCAAAATGGTTTTAAAAATTATATACATTTTTTAACTACATGCATTTGGATTTTTTTCAATAAAAAATGTATTATCATTATTTAATATTTGTTTAAAGAATTAAATGAGTAAGATCCAAACAGTATGCTTGAATTCCTGTTTATCTGACAATTTCTTGTTAAATTTTAAAAATTGTTTAGTAACTTGGAACCATATTGGTTTTAATAATACAATAGTTTTTAAGAAAATCTCTTAATACGAAAATGTCCTGTCCTCAATTTATTTTAGTTTTTTTTTGTCAAAATTTCAAACATTTTTGATACCTTATTGGTAATTTCACTCATTTTATTTTTTTAAAACAAAATATTAAATATTTTAGATTTAAGTTTCAAATATCAAAAGAAAATCTGACGGAAGTAACATATTATGACACTTTCTATTTATGTAACCAAAAATAATTTCTAATTATTACAACAATAGAACTTACCATATAATTACATGTGACAAAGATTGATAATTTTATTTCTAAAAAAAAATCCAAACCGAAAACACATACTCCAGCCGATAAATCAGTTATTAACATTTATAAATTAGTATACGGACAATTAAAATACTTTCAATTATTGTGACATAAATGTTAATGATGGTAGATGAACATGATAAACGATTCAGGCATATTATGAATGAAATCCGACACGCACTATCTTCAGTCCATGACAAGTATAAATTTATCTTAAATTGCGTGTACTCGATCTATTTTAAAAATCACGATTATTGCTTGGTATTCAATACTACAATAAAATTATTCTTCAAAAATACAATTCTATTTCATCACAGGTATCATCTGTAGACCCATAGGACCGATAATCAACATCATCTGTTGCGGCGTAGTTGGACTTACATCACGGAAATTACGTATTTGCGGCTCTGCAGTGGAATGAAAATGTATCTCAGGATTCGGCCTAGGTGTACTCAATAAATTATGATTTAAAGCATCATCGGCTACTGTTGGTCCCACAGTTGACGGTAAATAAACAGTATTTGGACCTGGTGCAGATCCATTGCTCTCCTGTTCAACACCACTGCATTGAAGACAATTTTCTTGCGGTCTAAACGTTTCTAAAATATTCTCTCCTGAAGTATACGTCGGTTTTGGAGTACTACTGGGAGTGCTGGGTAAATATGATGTAGTAGTACTAGGTAAATACTCAGGCTTTGGTGTAGTTCTAACCACTTCAGATATATATTGACCTGATTCGAAATTCGCGCTGTCTGGCACTTGTCCATCGATATCGTTGGTTTCGTCATCATGATGCACCCATGGTACGAATGGTGGTACTTTGATGTGATCGCCTTCCGGATGAAAACCTTGGTCGTCAGCGGTGTACCGTACTTCGTACATAACACCGTCGGGGCCAGGGTAGGAGTAGACGCCAGTAACTTTTATGAATTCCCGTTTGGTTCCGGCATAATGGACTTCACCAGATTCTTCTTTGGTTATGCCGTCGCTGCTTTCAAATCTGAAAAAAAAAATACAATATATTAATTGTTAGGTAAACGTAAAAGAAAGACTGGGAACTTCCGTAACACAGTTTATTTGACAAGCTATATGTAAAAATTAAATTGACAACTTCAATATTCTAATAGATTAGTAAACTAAAATAACAAGTGAATTAAATACGTAATGATGACAACTCCCATGAATTTTAACAATCCCCCCATAATGAGAGGTATCTAAAAACTCTACTCCTGGTGACTTGACATGAGTTTAAAAACTTGGCTTGTAAAGGGACTGATTTTTGTTTTCGAGCATCTTTACCTAAAAGGTACACAAAACCTGTGTATGGCCTATCGTTTGGATCTCCTCCTCTGTCGGCATCTAGATAGCTATGCAGTGATATATGTCTTTTTGAAAATTAGCCTAAAATTTTCAGTTTTTCTTAAATATCTTAAGACGCGTTTTACGGCTACCCAATGACCTGGCTGAGATAACTTACAGCATAGGATAAATCAGGTCGTATAGAAACACTTAAACACAAGCGAACCAACTGCTTGACTGCTTGACGGTATGGGATATTTGATAATATTTCTGCTGGTTCGAATTTGCATCCATAGGGGTATCAAATGGTCTACAGTTTTGCATGTTAAATTTTGATAAAATATCTAAAATTTATTTCTTTTGGGACATTGATATTTAATTCTAAAATTGTTTGAATTCAATTCCCAAACAGTAATGTAACAAGCCCTACTCTTTTATTTTAAATTTAGATGCTAGATTTTGTTTTAGTTTATTGTAAGTTTCTTCTGATTTTGTAGCTACAACTAAATCATCAACGTAGACGGCAAGAATAAGAAATATGGATTCTTGAGACATATAGACACATTTGTCACTATTAATTGATTTAAGACCAATGGATTGAAGATAGTGGTCTAATTTCTTGTACTACTGTGTTCCTGACTGTTTTAGTCCGTAAAATGACCTTTTTAAGAAGTACACCTAGTCTTCTTCTCCTTGCACCTTTAGCTTGTTTCTTTTCGAGGTCTTGTTAATATATGCCATAACGACATCTATTTGGTACATAATATAACCTAATTCAATGGATAAAACAAGTAACAAGCGAATGGAACTTTGTCGAATAACTGAAGGTGTTGTCTCGTGGTAGTCTACATCGGGTAGTTAAGTGTACCCTTTAGCATCAAGTCGTGCTTTTCTTCTTTCTACTTCGTTGTATATTTTGTTCTTAAAACCCATCTGCATCCTATTATCTTCCTACTCGTTGGTCTCTCTACTAGAATCCATGCATTATTTAAAACTAGCGAATAGAATTAATTGTGCATTGCTTCTTCCATTCTTCTGCATGTTCTCCTTGTAGTGCTTCTTCTAAAGTGGGGTTATCTGAATCAGAAGTGACCAGCTGCGTTTCTTCAACAACTTCCGTTAGGTAATATTTCTTTTTAGGTTTTCCTTTTGATTCATCTCGCATAATAGCTGGACATCCTGGACTTCTTGTGAGGGATTTAGTTAGTGTTAATGCAACTGTTTGTTCTTTAACTTCTTCTTCATCAGTTTGTGTTTCATTAGAAAATTTCTCTGCAGTGGTTTGAATCGATGTGTCTGTGGGATTGTTATTTGTCGTTGAATTTGGTGCCTTCTCATTTTTAAATTCAAGAATTACATAAAACTCAGGACTAATTTGTTCTTCTTCTATAATTTTAATATTATTGAAATTCTCTAAAAATCTAACATCTCGACTAGTTATGATTTTTCGTTTTTCTGGGTTCCATAGACAATAAACCTTTGATTCTTCTGAATATCCGAGAAAAATACAATTTTTGGATCTACAGTCAAACTTTTCTTTACTTGGAGTTTTTCTTAAGATAAAAGCCTGTGATCCGAAAATTTTTAAATATGAAATTTGTGTTTTAGTTTTATTCCAAAGTTCAGTGGGTGTTATATTTTGCAAGATCTCCGATAATGATCTTTTTCTGATAAATGTAGTAGTCGCTATCGCTTCGGCCCTAATGGTTTTAGGTAAGTTTGAGTCTAGGAGTATACACCTGGCCATTTCGACTAAAGTGCGGTTCATTCGTTTCACCACACCGTTTTGTTGTGGTGTTTATGCTGTAGAGCAGGCTTGCACAACTTAGATTTTGAAAGGGCCAGTTTGAGAAACCGTATGTCTAAGAGGGCTAAGAGAGACCTAAGCCTATTATAGTGGTTTGTTCAGATTCTAAAAAAAGGTCCTCGCGTTATAATTCTACCAAGCTCTTCTAAAAAAGGTTGTCAGTCTAAATGCAAGTTTGTTACTGAAAATTTTATAGATTGACGTAGGCGGGCCAAACTGGTCAACGGCCAACGGGCAGCCAAAACGACAATGACGGGCCGTATGTTGTGCAGGCCTGCTGTAGAATATTGTCTTTTATGCCGGTTTGGTGTAAACATTTTAAAAGCTCTGCTCCAGTGTATTCTAAACCATTATCTGTTCCCAAAAACTTAATTTTTCTATCAGTTTTTCTCTCTACATGTGCCTTGAACTTAAGAAAAGCATCTTTTACTTCGTCTTTGGTTTTAAGAAAGTAAAATTTCTAGCAAATGTTTAGCTCTGGAACCTGACTTATAAAAACAGATTGATATCTTCTTGCCTCAAATGCAAGTCTCACAAGGAGAAATAATATCTGAAATGTTGAATTTCATTCCATGAACTAGGTTCTTTAACTTGAGCATTTTCAAATCCTTCTCATTTAGATGTTCATATCGCTGATGCCATGTCTTTAGATCTGACTTTGTCTCTGAGATAGCTGATAATTCTTGATGTTCATTTAGGTAGTACAATTGGCTATTTCTATTGGCTCGAAGTATAACTTCTCCACTTGAATTAATAATTTCTGCATGATCTCACAAAAAACGTATATGCCTCCCATTTCCTGCAGCTTTTAATATTAAAATTAAATTAGTTTTTAAATCAGGAACGTATAATGTAGACAAATTTGCTTGGTTCCCGATGGGTCGCTCCCTATCAGTACCTTTACTGTCCCTGTTCCCAAAAAGTTAGTTGTATTATTGTCTGATAAACGTACTTTTTGGTTATTTATTGGCGTAAAATTTATTGCACATATGGCATGTTGCTCCACTATCTAGGCATCATTTATCTTGCTCAGTATTCGTCTCGTTTACTTGATAAGATATTGTTACAACACTCGTTCTTTCTTGAATCTAAGTATTACAGTCTTCAGTACTGATCATAAAAACCACCTCTTCTGCGGTAGATGCATTATGTTGCTTGTCTTTATCCATTTTCCTTCACTGGGAACCTTTGTCCTACTTTTTGGGCAATAGTTGCATTTTTATGGAAATTTCTTGTTAAAATGATTATTTTTGTTACTACTGAAACTTTCAGTGTTGTATTGGTTTGAACCTGTCTTCCAAATTGTTTTAACGTAAAGAACATTCTGCGTTTGTTCTTGGTACCCACAATACTCTTTTTCTTTTCGTGCGTTGAATGTGTTAAGTAATTTTACTTTTAAAACATCTGGTTTAGGAAGCGCATCTCTAGTTTCTATAGCGCAAAAAAAATGTTTATAACTTGGAGGAATAATATACAACATTAAAATAGTTAAAATATCATCTGCAACGTCGGTACCCATTTCGTTTAGTTTATCTACAATATTCGTAAAGGAATTAAGGTGATCTGCCATATCTTCGTTTTCCTTCATTTTTGAGTAAAGAAGTTTCTTTAGAAATGTTGCTTTTCTGGCGGGACCATTAGAGTGATATTTCTTGAAGCTTGACCCATATCTCATTCGATATCTCGCAGTATTTGTTATGGCATAATTCGGAGGGTTGAATAGCTAAAATATTATCTGTTTTAGCTTTCTGGTCTGTTTTCGTTTACTCTAATGCTTGATTTGCATCATATGGCTTCTTGACTTCACCAATAACATGACTCCAATGGTCGTCTTTTATAAGGAGAGCTTCTATCTGGATTTTCCAGGCATCAAAATTCTTTGGAGAGCTTCTCCACTTGGTTGAAATTTGATGCCATCATTATTTTTGAAATAATCTGTTGTATCTCAAGAATAATAAACTTATCTGTAATAAACACAAAAAACCTTTAGCAAGGCTTTAATAAACGAAATAACTGACAATTAAATAAAATACATAAACATCAAAGATTATCCAATAATAAAACAACATTAAGTATCACATTCTTTCTGTCTCTATCACTTAATATAATCATTTAGGTATGCAGGTGGTCTTCTGTTTCGCGTATAAACTGTTTTTGAATTTTCTTTATCCAGTATTGTAGAATCATCTTTGTGGGGAGATCCAGCTGGCAAGATACCTTCCTCTATTAGATGATCATGATCAGCATGTTAGAGGTGTATATTCAGTATTCACATTTTGACAATCTTTGACACGGACGCTAGCTCTGACAGACTTATGAGACTAGTATCTTGTTCGTGGGTAGGAGCGAGAAGTCTGAGAGGAACGGTGGTTTCCCTACCCTACCGTACGTGAGCATACTGAGGTTTGGCTTCCAAAAGATCAACCTCTTCGACCATAGGGGCATATTTATTGCTTCAATTAAAATTTTGAAGTAAAACCGTTCCTGGGGATGTAAGCCAAGTAGGTAGAGAAGTGCCATTTGTTGAACAGCTAGGATGAGTAAACATTCTCTCATATATCGCGGTACATAGTAGGGATCGAATTGCATGGAATACTTCAGGTAGTACTTGTTCCCACTAACTAGATTGTAGATTACAGGATCTCAGTGCGAGACTAACAGTTTTCCATATAATTCCATTCTAACGCTCACATTGTCCATTTCCTTGGGGATTATATGGTGTAGTCCTACGTCACGCTATTCCAAGAGACCCGAGAAAAGTTTAAGTTATTTAGACATGAACGACTATTCCTGATTAAAGTGAATATATGAGGGGGTAACAAAAGTCAAAAAAAGTTCTTTAAGGTATTGAATGACGTCAGAAGACGTTGTACGCAAAAGTGAATCTAGAGAAT